GCATGGTTCACTGATGGAAGCAGTTTTGCCCAAGAAGGACATTAAAAGGTTATACAGTTGTTAGTTCACAACAGGTTGTTGAGGCCAAACCCCTTCCCCAGGGACCTTTGTTCAAAAAGCAGACCTCATAGCCCTTACTTGGGCACTGATATCAGAAAAAAACAAAAAACTAAACATTTACACAGAGTCCAAATATGCCTTTCCTGTGCTACATGCCCATGAACAATCTGGAAAGAAAAGGGCTTGCTAACTAATAGGCAATCATGCATAAATCACAAGCAGGGACCTCTACAACTCCTACCTTAAAAGGCAGGTTGCTGTCATTCATTGCAAGGGACACCAAAGAGACATGTCAAAGTTCTCCTCCCTGGTAAATCGAAAGGCTAACAGGCAAGAAGGACAGCCTTACAGCCCCTCAAGCCTTATTCCTAGTTCCTGATGAACCATTAAAACCAGTCTAAGCTGGGCATGGTGGCGCACACCTGTAATCCCAGCACTCAGGAGGCTGGGGCAGGAGGATCGTTACGAGTTCGAGACAGGCCTGGGCTATAAAGTGAGCTCAAGTTCAGCCTGAACTGCACAGTGGGACCCTGTCTCAAAAAGACCAAAAAAAGAAAAACCAAAAAAACAGAAAACCAAAAACCAGTCTATATCCCCCAGGAAGGTAAATGGGACTTGGAACAAGGGGAAATTAAAAGTGGTTATTGGTGGTATTTGGGAAACAAACCAGTCTTTCCTCAAGGAACACTGTGGAAAGCTATAAAAATCCTTCATGCTTCTTTCCATATGGGAAGAGACGTACGTGGGAAATGTATTTTCACAGGAATAGTCCACATGAATTCGCATAGGACTAGGACTAGCAGGGATCACCCAACAGGTCTGCAAAGCTTATAATAACACTGGCAAGCCCAGCACGTCTGATTTGTTTGAACCTCTACAGAGGAGAGGGACCAGCTGGGAGGGCTGGCAATTAGACTTTATTTCCATACGACTATGTGGGGATTTAAGCAAATACTGGTTCTAATCGACCCCTTTACAAGCTTGATTGAGGCCTTCCCTCCCCACTCAGAGAAAGCTGTGGAGGTAGTCAAGGTGCTCTTCAAGAAATCACCCCAGTTTAGATTACCTCAGCCCCTTCAGAGTGACAACAGTCTTTTACCTCTCAGTTAACTGTGGGGCTGGCAAAGGCTTTGGGAATAAAGAACTGTCTCCATTCTGTATGGAGGCCTCCATACCTGGGAAGGTCAAAGGAACCAACTAGACTCTATAAAGCTCGACAAAACTTCACCAGAAGACTTTTAAGTCTTGGCTCCAATTATTGCCAGTCGTGAAGATTGAAACACCCCCAAAACTGAGCTGAACATGGTCCACTTGGGGTGTTACATGGAGGCCTTTACAATATCTTTTAATTTTTTTGTCTTTTTGAGATAGGGTTTTGTTATGGGGTTCAGGCTGGCCTTGAACTCACTTTGTAGCCCAGGCTGGTCTCGAACTCACAACAATCCTCCTGCCATAGCCTCCCTAGTTCTGTGATTATAGGCCTGTGCCACCATACTCATCTCTTACAATATTTTATTAATTTGGGTCAAGTACAACAGGTTATTCAACTATATAGGAACAAAGTCTTGCCAGCCACTGACCTAGGTACTCATTAAAACTTGAAAAGAAGAGACTTCTGTAGACCAATTAAAACCAAAATTAAAAAAATTCAAAATGAAAAGATCCTTTTTCATTGATCCTTGCCACATCCACTGTAGTAAAGGGGGTGGAGTTAGACAGCTAGATTCACCTTTCTAGGATAACCCAGGCCCACCTGAACTGTCTGAGGAAAAACCACCACCCAAAAGAAAAAGGTTACTCCTGTGAACCTCTGAAGAGCTGAGGTTGTTTTTTTTTTTTTTTTTTTTTTTTTTGGTTTTTCTCTGGTACCGGGAACCGAACTCACGACCTTGCGCTTGCCAGGCAGGCACTTTGCCGCTGAGCTAAATCCCCAGCCCCAGAGCTGAGGTTCTTACCCCAAGAGCAAGGCTTCAGTACTGCTTCAGGTATAGCGAAGTAGGGTCACTAATGACCCCTAATCCACCACAACTTAAATGGGCACGCAGGGACTCTTGTTTTTAATTGGATCTATAATCTTGCCAGGGCTACAGCTCTCAGGCTTTTGGTAGTTTATCTATTGTCCCTCTTCACCGTGCTTTCTCCTCCACAGGAATGGTGGAGATCTGTAATTGCTCTCTCTGTCACAGTCCATCTTTTAAGACAGACAAAGAAACGCCGACCTCCTTCTTCTCTTATTTTGGCTCTGCACCCTCAATTGAACAGTAAAGTTTATCCGTTCAAGGCTTCAGATCCAAACTATAGCCCATGACTCTCTGGACAGGTTGACCAAGCTTTCTCCCATTGAACAGGCAGCTCACCAGCTCTTGCCGTAGATACTAACTCCTTGCTCATCGCTCATTGTCTTCTGACAGTTTTGTTTTTTGTTTTTGTTTTGAGACAAGGTCTCACTATGTAGGCCAAGCTGACATTGAACTTGCAGCGATCCTCCTGCCTCAGCCTCCCAAGTGCTGGGATCATAGTGTGAACAGGTTATTTTTTTAAGCCCAGCCAATGAGCCACAATATCCCCAGGTAGTTGGAGAGGTAAGGTAGGGCCTACAGTCCCTTTCAACTGGATGTAATGATGTGAAGACAGAGACTTCCACAGCCTCGACAACACGTGAAGAATTATGGGGATTTGCGACTCTCAGAGGGAAATGAGGTGTGTGGTTAGGGTGTGGCCAGCCAGCTGGGCAAGTGGGCAAGAACTGTCAATCACAGAAAGCCTAGACACATGGGCAGAAATACACAGTTCCCAAGCCCTGGCCCTGGGACCAACCAGAAAGTGCTATCTCCAATTCTTCTGGTGTGAAATCAAGCTTGTTTTTGATGAGATGGCCTAAATCTGACCTCAGCCTGAAGAACGGGTACGAAAGATGTTACTATGCTGTTTTCTCAGTGGCCTGCTCTCACTCTGAAGAGCATATTTCTTTTCCCATCTTTAGTAAATGTAAAATCTTGCTATGTTTTTCCCTTGTCTTGCCCAATTCTGTGTTCGGGACCACATGAACCCGAAAAGAGCCTCTAAAAGGAGCCCACGGCACCCCAGAAAGCTGGTAACAACATCAAAAAAGGGAGTATTCATTAAAGACCCTCCCTCGTTTCAAAACCTGATTTAGATTCTTATATGATTAAGGCCCCTGAGGGTACACTGACCACCAGAAAGGAACAAGGAGGACATTTTTGAGATATCCACACTCCCTAAGATAAATGTCAATAAACATCGTAATCACCGTAGTTCCCTGAACCCCAGGAGTAAGTTTTATGTGCAAAAAAGGCACGCAAACTCATGTCCTTGCAGATGTCTCTGTGACACTGCCCACCTTCTTGCTTGAAGGCATAACTCTATATCTACTTTACAATAAATTCTACCTATGCTTCTGTATGGCCTATGTGTCTTTTTTTACATTATTTCTTTGGGTCACAAGTTTAAATTGGCGCTGCAATATTGACAATGCAAAGTTTTGGCATACATCACAAAATGTGCGCAAAAAAGTACCTGCACAAAGGGCAAAGCAATGCTTAGAATTAGGCTAAAGAGCTGCTGATTTTGCTGGGTGTGGTGGTGAACACCTGTAATTCCAGCCCTGAGGAGGCTGAGGCAGGAGGATCACTACGAGTTCAAAGCCAGCCTGGGCTACATAGTGAGTTCAAGGCCAGCCTGAAATACATAGCAAAACTCTATCTCAAAAAAACCAAAAAAGAAAAAAAAAAAAGCTGATGATTTTAAGCAAACAAAAGGCCTAAAATCGCTGTACAAATATAAAATAAAGTAAGCACTACCATCCACAGAATTATATTTTAAAATTATTGGGGGCTGGGGATTTAGCTCAGCGGCAAAAGCGCCTGCCTGGCAAGCGCAAGTTCGTGAGTTTGGTTCCCGGTACCGGAGAAAAAAACCAGAAAAAACCAATAAAATTATTTGCATAGTTACATATTGACTTGTAAGCAAGTACTATACATGAGCTGTTACCCAAAGGCAGTTCCTTGTTGCATTATAGAACATTTGATTAAGTTGCAAAAAGTATCCTTTTTTGCTATTAGTAAAGAAAACAGTTAATGGGACAGTATGTTGGGGATTGGCAGGCTGTGGCTTGCTGATGCATCCTCTGTGACCTGTCCCCAGGCAACTGCTGGGACCTTCAGATGCGTGCTCTGCAGACTGCTCGAGACCTAAGTGAAACCTGTGTTTCTCCAAGATGGCAGCTGGGCTGCTTTGAGCTGCCGGTGTCTCCATGTGGGCACTATCAACTCACCCAGGCTATGTGTGCATTTGTGTGTCACTGAATGAGTCGCTCAACCCCACTCATGTGTCTTTGCAACAGGCAGCAAAAACGCTACTCAACCTCACTCTCCAAGGGCTGCACCCACCCCAGCCTTTCTTGGGCCAGCAGCAGCTTACAGGGAGACATGAAAGCCACAGGACTTTTCTAGGGTGACCTCGAGGGCAAGGCAAACACAAGCCCCCTCTGTCTTTTTCTCTGGGCTTCCCTCCCAGATGGTGCTGAAGAGGGTCCGGTGGTCCCCTTCCTTTGTGAAGGGCTCAGCGTGATCCTCTCCACCAGAGCTGTGTCTTCCCCAGCTCCCACAGCATCTCTGCTTAAAAACCCTTCCCACCCCAGGTTGCCACAGATGGGCAAGTGCTGGTGTCACCAGATGGGGTCTAAGCTCTCAGAGAGGAAATGGGAACTTCAGTTCACCCAGGGTTTTGTTTACTTTGTTTTTTGTTTTTGTTTTGGTGGTACTTGGGATTGAGCCCAAGAACTTCACCCTAAGCTACATCCCACCCCTCTTTTATTTTTTGAGAGAGTCTCACTAAGTTTGTAGAGGCTATTTTAAATGTAATAAAAATTTCAATCCTATATTTCTAACACGGATATGTTTCCAATACTGTTCAAGGATGAGACTGAGAAGCACAGCTGATTCTCATAATTAGAGAGCTGCAAAACTTAACAAACCCTGACACTCCCAGAGCCAGCCGCAAGGTAAGTGCAACTTCGCCAGACAGTGATGTTTTGCTTACTTTCAAGTCCCAGAGAGTCATCGCCTCAAGGACACCTCTGCCTGGTTTCAGACAATGATTGATTCTTCCTCATGTTATACGATCGTAACCTTATTAGTTATTGTAAGAGTAAATTCTCACCTGGCGTGGTGGTGCACGCCTGTAATCCCAGCACTCAGGAGGCTGAGGCGGGAGGATTGTTGCCAGCTTGAGGCCAACCTGGGCTACAAAGTGAGCTCAAGACCAGCCTGAACTGCATAGTGAGACCCTGTCTCAAAAAGACCAAAAAAAAAAAAAGAAGAAGAGTAAATTCTGCCTAGCAATTAGTGAGAAAGACATGTGTAACCAACTATAGAATGTTACATTATCTACCTTTTTTGTATTTCCTTCTAAAAACCTATGTAAGTGATTAACAACCTCAAAATGATGCTGATGACTTAAAACTAAGATTCGCATCAGCCCCCTAAATGCCTTCCGAAGTTCCTCTGGTGCTGTTGTCTTCCATTTGATCTGGTCCTGAATTCTGCTTCAAGTTTCTTTTTTTCCTTTCCTTTTCTTTTTTCTTTCTTTCTTTCTTTCTTTGTTTGTTTCTTTCTTCTTGAGACGGGATCTTGCTATGTAGTTTAGGCTTATCTTGAACTTACTATGTAGCCCAGGCTGGCCTCAAACTCACAGCAATTCTCCTGCCTCAGCCTCCCGAGTGCTGGGATTACAGGCATGTGTCACCTTGCCTGGCATTCATTAAATTTCTAAATTGCCTAGACTGGTCCTAAAATTGCAAACTTCTTGCCTCAGCCTCCCAGAGTGCTGCCATTACAGGTGTTCAGCACCATGCCCAGCTGCCCAGATAGTTCTTGACTCTTCTTACAGAAAAAGAATCTCAGGACTCATCCGTGGGAGGTACAGACAGATTTTTTATGAGGCAGCACTAGAAAGTAAGAGGCAATGGGAAGGGCCTGCAGCTGTGGGAGCTGGGGAAGACGCAGCTCTGGTGGAGAGGATCACACTGAGCCTTCACAAAGGGAGGGACCAGCTTTTAAAGAGTTAAGGTGGGCTAGGGTCTGGTTGATCATTATCTCAGTTCTGGTTTGCAAAGTGTCTGTCATTGAACTGGGTCTGAGAGGCTCCTGCAGCTGAGATGAGGAATTTAACCTGCCCTAAACGTAGGCCGTTGGAAGCTGGCTGACTCCCTCACAGAAAAAGAATTTTAGGACCTGTCAGTAAAAAGCATGGGAAAGGTTTTATGTGGCAGAAATTAAAAGGTACACACTCAAAGAAATAGAGCACAGACTCTCTCTTGCCTTATGAGCTGGAGCTGGGTATACTTTGGGGGCTCGGGGACATTTTCACGACGGGTGATCTAGGACACGCATTCCCACCCTTGGTCAGGTCGACCGTCTAGCAGGCTGTGTCAGAATGCAAACTGTTTACCTGTGTTTGAGGCTGAGACATGCTGCCCACTAATATTGTTGCTTCCTTGAGCGTGGAGGAAGCATAATTTACACGTGAAGGTGACAGCTCAAGGACAAATTTACAAGCTTATTGTGTCTATAAACCTTTAGGAAGATTTTGGAGTAAGTTTCCAGGAAGGGAAAAAGGCTTGAATAAACTTTGTGGTCTTGGAACTGCAACTTTTCTTTTCTTTTTCTTTTTTTTGTACTGGCAGTCAAACTCAGGACCTTGTGCTTGCCAGGAAGGCACTTGTGCTGCTGAGCTATATCCGTAGCCCAAAGCTACCATTTTTCTTAAAAGTACAATTTTAAAATTTTTATTTCCTTGCCTTCTTTTTTGCCTATTTTTCATTTCTTCTTTTCTCTTTCTTTTTTTTTTTTGTTGGAGACAGGGTCTTGCTATGCTGTTCAGGCTGGCCTTGAGCTCACTTTGTAGACCAGGCTGGCCTTGAACTTGCAACGATCTTTCTGCCTCAGCCTCCAGAATGCTGGGATTACGGGGGTGCGCCACTATGCCCGGCTTTTATTTTTCATTTCTTCTATCTTACTTCATCTCTGGAAAATTCTGTGTCACTTGAGGGGAACAGTCTGTCTCTCTGAGGGGCAGTCTCAGATTTTCCGAGGCTCTGCTGGAATCCAAGATGACCACAGGTTTAGGGAAGTGACTGGAAACTTTTGGGTACAATTGGTAGTTGAATGTCACTGTCTATCTTTTTTTTTTTTTTTGAGACTGAGTCTCACTGTGTAGTTGAGGCTGGCCTTGAACTCATTGTGTAGCCCAGACTGGCCTGGAACTTGCTTCAACCCTCCTGTTTCAGCCTCCCAGGTGCTAGGATTACAGACATATGCCACCATACCTGGCTTCAATCTCTTACTTGACATCTTAAGTCTTGCTGGGCAGTGAGATTAGTTATGAAAATTTAGGGCCAATCAGGCTTTCATAGTCCATTTTTAGAGAGACATTCCCTAAGTGATGAACGTGCTGATATGCAGAACTAAGCAGAGATCTGACCCACAATCTTCAAGTAATAAAGTAGATAGAGAGGAAATGAAGATTAAGCTTTGTAGTTACCTATTGGGCTTCTATAGGATGAACTGAAGAGTCACTTGTTTTATTTTGTTGTGGTATTGGTTTTTATCAAAAAGAGCTTTTAAATCTCTGATTGCCTTCAAAGAAAACCCCAATCATGGTTGTAAACAGAAACAGGTTATGGGCCCGGGAGTTTGATCTCTGACTCCCTGGTGGTCTCTGACTGCATGGGGTGAGGGAGTCAAGGGTGTAGTGGTTGGGGATCGCATCCTATTCGCGCAGAGGTCAGCACTGAGCTCTCTCAAGGACACCGCTGCGGGCACAAGTCCATGAGCCCTGCATGGCCTCCTGCAGGCCCAGCACTAGTGTCAGGTAGGTTCCCTCGGCGACAGGCTGGAATGGAGCTGCCAGTTCAGTATTATGCAAGAGGAGACAGTTCCTGGCTGACACGCAGATGTTGCTTCAGTGAAGAGCCAGGACACGACGAAGGAAGCTCTATCACTCGCTTGGATGCTCCAGGAGGCTGACAGGCTGAACTCTGCCCAAAGGGTGCAGTCACCCTGTCCTGGGGGATGCCAGACCAGGACGAGGAGCAGGAACAGAGGCAGGAGGCCAGGCTGGCAAGGCCACGTCTCTGCACTTGGAATGGATCGGGAAGGAGTTACAGGGACAGGCAGGCCCCGCCTGGGCCTTCGTCTCCAGAGCGAGGGACCCTACGCTGAGTGGGCACTTAAGTAGCCTGGCACTGCGGGTGTGGGCGGTTCAGGAAAGGACACCCCCATGAGGGCGGAGCAGGAGGGGGTACAGGGGTGTGAGTACAGGGTCCACGACTCTCGGGTGAGTCACTTCAATTTTTCCAGCCTTGGCACCCACGTCTGTAAAAATTAGAAATGAATGCTCGCCCCAAGATGCTCATGATGATTAATGAGCAACAATCGTGCACGCACCTGGCATCACACTTGGTCCAAACCAGTACACGATGAATGTGTTTTCTTCCTGTCCTCCTTCCGCCCATTCACCCTTCCTTCATGCGTTCTTCCATCTGTCCATCCATTCATCCTCCCACTCATCCATCCATTCACCACCACCACTAACTCATCCATTCACCCATCCCTTCCCCCCTCCACCCATCCCCTAATTCCTGGAGAAAGATCAGAACAAACACCCAAAACATCTTAGCAGGAACCGGTTCCCACGAGCAGCACTCAGGAACCAACCCTCCCAGCACAGGGCCTCTCAGTGTCTCCCAGCCTCCCTCCTCTGCATCCCCTGCTCTCCCAAACCTCGCCTCACACAGGGGCCCCTGGAGGCACCCAGGTCTGCTTTTCTTGTCTCCTCTGGACAAGATTTCTTTGTGATGCCCTCCTCCTGTCTTCAGGGAGACTCTTTCTCCCTGAAACTACCTTGAATGTTTCGATGTTCCAGTTATCAACCTGAAATCCTTTTACATGTCTAAAATGCATTTTAAAATACTGGAAGCTGGGTGTGGTGGTGCACACCTGTGATCTCAGCACTTGGGAGGCTGAGGCAGAGGATCACTGCAAGTCCAAGGCCA